AAGGCCAGCGATCGCCCTCGGTCCACAAGAGTCAGTCCATTCTGTCCCTCAGCTGCTGAGCGGCTGGCTGTGTGTCCCCCATACCACATGTGCTACCCACTCATGGCTTCCATCCCAAGATGTCTCCCAACAGCCAACAGCCCCTTCAGAGTCCATGCTCTGTGTCAGGCCCCGCCCGTTGGAGGAACTAGCCAATAGGGAGACACAGGGCCTTCACTGAGTTCTTAATATTTCTATGGTTGTGCTGAAAGAAAGGCCAATAGCAGCAGGGCTAATCTGCTGGTTGCAAAGAGGCATTTTGTAAAGCCTGGGAGGTGTCTGTGGGAGAGGGTGGTAAAGATAAAACAGAAGACAAAGATATGACTGCCAACAACCACAGAGGAGCACCCTGAATTCAGTAAAGGACTAAAACAGTGGGGTAGCTCAGAGGGGACAGCTATCCAGTGTCCATCTATGATGTGAAGTAGAGGTAGTAACTGCAGGAACTACTTACTCGGTACAAGATGGAACATTCTATCCAACTGGTGATGAGGACAAGTGACGAGGACAGCCACAAGGAAAGAGACCACGTCCCTCTAGAGTGAGGAGGAAGAAGATGGCTCCCTTTCTGATGGTTATGCGTTTTTTCTCTGAGAATAAAGACCCAGAAAGTTTTAGAAATCCCTTTCTTTGAACTTACCGGAAATTATGCAGATTATATAACCCAATTTTAGAGAGTTGAAAGGAAGGGAATAAAGATGGCACATGAGGAAAGGGGCTGAGGAAGCACACAACAGAATCTGAATAAGGTCTTCAGACACATTCTATTCACTCATTTGTCTGAAATCCCACAAGTGCCTGCTCTAAGGGGCTACAGTCTGGTCACAGGAGCTAGAGAGATGCAGAGAGGAGACACAGACAGCACAAGTGAAAAAGCAAGCAAAAAAGCCTGCAATGGTAAAATCAGAAAAGTGATGAAAGTGTGCAAGAGAATGGCAGGAGAGGTGACTAAGGACCATCATAGAATGGGGAAGGTCTGGGGAGACAGCTCAGTAAGTGCTTGCTGCATACACATGAAGACCAAAGTTTGATCCCCCATGCCCCCATACAAGCCAGGCCCATTGGTGTACATCCACAGCTACAGCACTGAGGGAGAGATGGTGGAGCTAGGAGGTTCCTAGAGGCTCACTGACCAGCCAGTCTAGCCAAACTGTGAGCTCCAGGTTCAGAGAGGGACCCTGTTACAAAACATAAGGTGGAGAGAATTAGAGGAAAACATCTGGCATCAACTTCTGGCCCCCATACACCCACATACTAGCATGGGTACCTGATTACACACATGAACACACACACATACACACACACACACACACACCACAAAGAAAGGAAAGAAGGGAGGGAGAGAGGAAGGGAGGGAAGGAAGGAGAGAGGGAGGAAAGAAAAAAGAAAAAGATATGGAAAAAGAAAAGGGGGGACAGGGAAGGGGGAGGGAGATAAAGAAGAAGGAAAGAAAGAGGGAAAGCAAAAGAGAAAAGGAAAGATTGGTCAGGCACGTGGGCTTAGCAGCTGCGTAAAAGAAGGCAGATTTAGGTAGCTGAAATAGTTTACTTATCATAATAATTTTCTCACATTTAAATGATGCTCCTTTTGAGAATTTCAGTCTGGCTCAGCTGAGGTTAGGAAGGAAATACTAACAATAGGAACAGTGATTTCACATTCTGTGCCAGGGATCTGTGCCTTCTGTCTGGAAGCCATCAAAGGTGAAAAGAGGCAGGATGTCTGTGAAGGGTGGTTTTGGTGGGAGCAAGGGAAGATAGTACCATAAACTAAATAGCTTAAAACAATACAAATGTAGTGTACTGCAGCTCTGTGGTTCAGAAGTCTAAAAGGGGCTAAAATCAAAGTGTCAGCAGAGCTGTAGTCCTGTCTGGAGGCAGGAGAGGAAAATAGGGTTCCTTTCACTCTTGTAGAAGTCACCTGTGAGGGAATGCACAGAGGTTCTTGACCCCTCGGTCTTTAAGCCTGCAGTGTTGCAGCTCTCCATGCTCTAGCTCTATTGTCCCATCTCTGGCTTCTTACCCTTCTGCCTCCTCCTTCCACTTTTTCCTTTCTTTTCACATTTATTTAGTATTATTAGTGTGGGTATGAATATGCATGTGTACACATGTACATGTGGCACGGCACACATGTGAAGGTCACTTGTAGAAGTAAGTTCCTTCCTTCCATCATGTGGATCCTGGAGATCAAATTCAAGTTATCACACTTGCAGCAGGTGCCTTAACCTGCAGAACCATCTCACCAGCCCCATCTTCCTCTTTTCAGGACTCCTCATATCAAGCCCGGCCAGAAAAATCCAGAAGTCTGTTTATTTTAAAGTCAGATAGTTAACAACCTTAATTTTTACAACTTTGTTTCCCCTTCACCATGTAACCTAACACGTTCACAGATTCTAGAAATTAGAATATAGGCATCTTTGGAGGACTGTCATTCTGCCTGCAGCAAAAATTGAAAATTAATGTGAGAAAACATCAAAAGCTTGTTATCCCTTCTAGAATTTTCTGCTCCCATTGGAAGGTCTTGTCCTCTCTTCTATGTAATTAAATTGATCATAAGAACTAAATATGAAGTGGCTAAAATACAAAGAATTTGTAGGTTTTAGTGATCTTAGATAAAACCCTAAGTTTCTTCCTCTGTAACAACAGAGTAAGGATGAGGTAATGCTTTCTCAAGACCTGTCATTGTTCCTAGCCTGACTTTAGAAGTAACTGTGTCTTTGTAGATTAAGTTCTAAAGTGCAATGTCTCATTGCCACAGGACATGGCCGCTGAACTCCCTAAAGCCAAAACATCCTTGCTGACAGTAGCCTGGTTATGTCACTACTGTATTTATCTTATGCTATCAGCATTTTGAGATCACTCATCTGTTGTCGACACATATACCTTGTGGGTGTATAAAACATACAAATAAACCTGACTTTTGAAAAATGACTCCCTGAGACTGGTGAGATGGCTCAGTGGTTAAGAGTGCTTGCTGCTCTTCCAGAGGACCCATGATCAGTTCCTAGCACCCACATCTGGTGTCTCACAACCTCCTGTAACTCCACCTCAGGGGATCTGATACCTTCTTCTGGCCTCTGTGTGCACTCATACACATGTGGCAAACATGCAGACATGTACACAAACATGTAATAAAAAATAAAAGTAAATCTTAATAAAATTCTCTCCCAGCTGATGATATATGCATTGTATGTCTCAGAATGTCCTTTTTGCTTGTCATAGAATGTGTTGTTGCTCTGTGCTTTGAAAGTGCACATATCACATAAGATTAAAATATCTCATATTTTATACTACATTACAATTTCCCACATGCTTTCATATCTATTATCATGTGATCTGCTATAAGAATGTTCTGAGACTGCTAACAGAAAATAAGGTATGTGTAAGGTGAGTGACCAGTTCTATCATAGCTCTGCATATATGCTTAATGTGCATCCTTGATCAGTGGTAAAAGGAGTACCAATTAATTTGTTGGGAAACTGACCTCAAGCACTTGACTGAAATGTGACTTATATGCTGCGTATGTGGCTCCAAAGTGATCAAACATCTTTTATATTTTAAATTGGACATCATCTTAATGAGAAATCTTATGCTGCCTTTTATCTTTACGTTTGAAAGAAGATGCATTCATGGATTGCTCTCAGGCCCGTTTTTAAATCATACTTTATTCTTGAAAAATCTTCCTCATCTTCTCGTAGTCTGGATGTGTTGTCCATAAACACATCTTTTAAAATATCTGAATGTAAATAGAAATATACATATGGGAAATCATAAAAATGAAATTATACCTATCTGCACTTTCATTTGTGGAGTGTTCCTCTAAATTATTTAAGAAATTAATATTTTTTTCTAAAATGGTCTTCTGTCTCTTTAATCCCTAAGTTCATATACATAAAACAAAGGGAGGCTTTCAGATGAATTGTAGACTCATTTCAGATGTTGTCTAGTGTTTAAACACTGACATCAAAGCAAAGAGCCAATTATCAGAGTTCATTTGGTCTGAAGCCCCATTGCCTGAATTGCTATAGTTTTCCTTATGCCGAAAAAGAAATCTGTGTCACATCTTGAAGATGTAGTCTATAAAATCACTTTCTCTACAGCAGTTGAACTTGAAACATGTGTTTGGGCTCACTAACCACAAGGAGGCATTGAAGCATCTCTTCAAATGTGCAAAGCAATTTTAGTCCTTAAAAAAGTTGTACTTCCAATTCCTGAATTCCATTTAAGCAATTACTCCTGCTTGTGAGTGTGCATGCCTTTTAAGTTCATGTTTGGTTCCAATTTTTTTTTAAGACCTGAAACAGGAGCAGGATATGCTGCTGTTATTTCTTTCGTGGAGATTTTTGGACAGCAATCACACATACATGCTTTCCCTCTGCTCTGTTTCCAGCAGAAACAAAGGCAAACCACAGGACTTTATTAGTGCTGACAAAGGAAATGCTTGACCCTTATTGCCCTTTGAAGGTTAAAAGTTCTTCTGACAGAGAGCAGAAGGTTCTTTGATATTCGAGTTCTTTAAACACACGGTCCTGACAGCAAGGGGTTTGGCTGAAATCTGTACAGTGATTCTGGAACACAACTCCAAAATGCCACATGACTTTAAAATCCAGAGCAATGTTTTTAAACCTGAACCCAACATTCTCACCTACTGTTTTGGAGCATTGGTGTTAATGTCAGAAATTTTCTCCATGTTTTTGTAATCCTGATTCTCTGGAGCTTTGTGGGCATGGGAAGAGCATGAACCTCTCTCTGTTACAGAACATGCTGCATAGCACATCTCCTGATGCTTAATCCCCTGAGAAGCAAGACTTCATTCTTGGGAGTTTCATTGTTTCTGCAAGATGCTGCAGGGGAATTTATCCCCCCACCCTGAAAACATGGACTATGACATTTTGAAATTCTCATGTGCAGTTTTGCTATATTGACTTGCTCTTTCTGTATTTTGACACTTTCTTTACCTTTTAGGATATGCCCAGTCTGTGCGAAAGTGTATCAGTGACTTCGACATAGAACAAAACATGCAGCTAGGGAGGCTATGCGACATCCAAGGTACAGCGAGCAGTTTCACACAGATGACCGGCTGGGATTTTTACTGGTAGATGTTGATAAGATGCTTCTTTTTTACTTCTTTCCTCTACAAGGAGTAGATTTCTAATCTACTTGCAAGGGAATTGAATGTTTTGTTTTTAAATAACAGATTTACAGCGCAGTCAACTTGAAATTTAAAAAATTGCTGTTTAAACAATTCCTTAGTCTTCTAAATTCTGTTTTGAATAACAATCTCTCCTGGATAGACCAAAATCATCCTGATTTACTGACTCCTTGCAGGGAATCAGGTCAGAATTCTATATTTCTGTCAATATTGTCTCTTTTCTGGTGAATGAGTAGAAAGTGTCAGAAGCGAAGCATTGTGCTCTACCATAAGGAAAGAGGGAAGCAGAGAGATTTTCAAAAGAAGTATCAAGCTTCTGGTTGTGAGAAAACATGAAGTGCCTTAAGGAGGGAATTCTTAGAAATCCAGGCCTTGGATACATCTCTGAAAAAGTCAAGCTCTGATACTGCTTCAGTCAGCTCTCAGCCACGGCCTGGCTTTAGAGGAATACAGATTACAACGCTTAAGCAACCACATTGAGTCAGTTTGTGAGGACTGGCCAAAAATAAAGAGTTAAATAAAAATTATATTTTTAGCAATTATAAGACCTTTTTTGTTTTGTTAGAATATAATTGCTTTGGCCCTTATTTAAGCAAACAAGAAAGAATTTTACATTATCAGTGGCCAACTTAGCTGGCTTCCTAGAATGACACACTTTGCGTGACTCATAGAGATTTCAGCATCATTATTATTTTATAAATGCCACTTGGTAACAAAAATACATCAGCACTAGAAATTTACAGTGTCCTAAAATAATAATAACATAATTGCTGTAATCTATTATCTAGGCACTAATGCTGTTTTTCAGTGTTACAAAAAAAAACAAAAACCTTCAATGATTTGAGATTGATTTGTTAGTGCTGAGCTATTTCAACTAAAAACCTGCCTGGATGGAAACCAGTGAGTGCAGCAGAGGGCAGGCTTTGCTCTAATTTATTTGAATTAATATTTTCTTTAGCTTTTTATATACCCTTCTATATATAGACAAGCCATCACCGAAGAATTTCTTTACAAGCGTCTCATTATTGAAAAAGACTTGAAAGTATTAGGCGTCTATTTTAAATAATCCAATAATTCAGTCTGTGCAACTATAGGCATTTCAGAGAGATTGTGCCTTTTCCTGGTATACTATCATTGTGATACAGCAATGTAGCCATACAGCCTTTGCAAGAGGAGGAATGTTTAGAGGTAATTGATGAAGGTAAATGTACTTTCTTGTGAAATAAAAACAGGGAGAAACTAAAAAAGATGACTAATGATTTGAGGGGGGAGAATAAATAAAATTTTATTCCATTAATTACTAGTAAAAAGTGTTGATTTTCCTGCTTATTCTTGGGGAAATAAAGGTGATCTGATCAAACTGGTAGGGCTTGCCATTTCATACTGGCTATGAAGTCAGGATTGTCGGGTAGAGACCCCACGAATAGTATTTTCAGTTCCTAGATGAGGTAAGAGAGTCACTGATTTTGATTAGCAATTAAAGCAACTTTCATCTTCGTATCAGCTCCTTTGCATACTTACCTGTCTGTTCATTGTGAATATTTATAGATTCATGATGAAACCATACTCACACTGGATACTAGAGTTGGTGATATGTATTCCTTTGTCAGAAAAGTTAAATTATCAAGCTGCTTTCTTATTACTGGTAACCTAGAGATTTCTTTCCAAGAAAAATTTATCTTCTGTTAATAAAGTTATCTTTGGCTATTTTTGTTGATTATATCCTATTCTTTTACACTTGAAAAAAATCCTGGGTTTGTTTTTAAAACATTCTAGTTTGGTGAGACATTAGTTTCTTCTCCAAAACATGTGGCTTGGGATAACTAAATTGATCATTCAGCAGTTGCGTACAAGTTATTTAATTACTATGCTTTGAGGGGACTTAGGGGAATATAGAGTATAAACGTTGACTTTAAGGAGCTTAGAGAGGGCTGAGAATGTAGCTCAGTTGGTAGAGTGCTTCCCTAGCATGCATGAAGCCCTGGATCTGATCCCCAGCACTGAATAAACCTGGTGTGGTAGTGGCAAGCCTGCAATCCCAGAGCTTGAGAGGTGGGGGCAAGGAGAATCAGGGGTTCAAAGCCAAATTCTGCTACATAGTGAATTAAAGATTCAAAGCCAGCCCCTATTGTATAGTGAGTTAAAGGTCAGCCTGGGCTACATGAGACCCTGTCTCAGAAAAAAAAAAAAAGAATAAAAAAAAGCTTGGATTAATAGATTTGGGACAATAACCTAGAACAGCAGATGACACTACTTCATCGTATTAATTTTTTTAATAAAAGGAAGAGTGATAGGTAAAATAGGCCATGGATGAATCCGGTTGATTAGGAGAAAACACCAGGACACAGATAAAACTCCATTGGAATAGAGTTTATTAGCAAAGGAACACATGGGACAGATTCCCTTCCGGGCAGGGAAAATGTCTGCCCCAGGTTGTGAGCTGGGGTCTTTTTATACAGGAAGACTTCTGTTTCCCACAGAAGGTGGGAAGATATATTTTTTTTCCAAGTTGGGCAGGGGGAAGCGGGAGAGTGGAACTGTTAAAACCTGCCCTCTTTAGAGATCAAAGGGGAAGTCTGCTGGGTTGGCCAAACAGTGGGGAAAAGGCTGCTTCTCTTGACTTCAAAGACCAGGGTACTTATCAACTCGGTTCCCTTTTCTCAGGGGCTTGTGAGGTCCCCAAGGCCCTGTTGGTGAGGGGGTGGGGCTGTCTGAACCTTAACAAAGAGTTTAAGAGTCTGATGTAGTGGGGAGACATGGAGGCAGGAGGTGGCTGGAGCAGGAGCAGAAAGCAGAGGCTCACATCTTCAAGCAGGCACAGGAAGCAGAGATTGTATTAAATCTTGAGACTGATCAAAAGGAGCACAGGTGTTGAGGGCTGGACAGCGAGTTGCTGGTGGCTGTACCATTTATTCCACACTTATTGTGTGCCAGAGACTACACTGAGAATTTTTTTCTTTCATTTAATATTCTAAAAATCTATGCCCCAGGTGATTTTACTCCTCATTTTACAAATGAAACCAATGCTTAGAAAAGTTAAATAGCATGCTCAGGGCCCTAGGTAGCTGAACTAGAATTTAATTAGTCCATGCTCTGCGTACTCTGCCAAACTGAGCAAAGGAGGCTTGGAATCCTCTCCTAACCTTTTCAACCCAAGGTGATACTTTCAGCCCTCCCTCCTCTGAACTTCCCTGAGAACCTGGTCTGACTTAGCATGCCCACTTCTCTCTACAGTGTTTATAGTTGTTTGTGCATGTGAAATGGATGCTCCCCAAGGGCAGAATCCTGGTCACTTTGATCCTTAGGTACCCTGGGGTATCTAGCCAAACATTTTTCCCTATATGAGTCAGTTATTTTATGAATGAGTTAATAGCTCTACCGGCTGCTACACATATACTCCCTAAATATTCTGCAGTGTACAGTGAGTGATTTCATCTCACTATTCCACTTGGATGGAACATTCAATTAGGATTTTTTCTATATTCATAATAAGAAACACATCTTAAGAAAGATAACAGTCAGGGCAGTGTTTTCTTTCAATCAAATTTTCTAGATGTGCTATTTAAGTAATATATTCTTCTTTGGGACTAGAGCAGGGAAAAGGCTGGTTTCCTGAAGTAATCATTGCTATGGTCATAGCCAAACTGCTTATTTGGACAAGACATTCCCTGAATTGACCCTGTTAAGTCCAAGCAGAATGAAAAATTATAGTTTCATCAGCTTTCTAAAGTTAATAGCTCTGTTTTATAATTTTCTGATGCTAATGGGATAAATTCCATCATTGTTAATGGCGCTGTAGGGCTAAATCCTGCATCATTTGAAAGTTCACTTCTATGGGCACCTCATAGCCTTCCTTCTGAAAGGATCACTCCATGTATTCTGTTGGTGGTGTCTTTTCTTTAGAAAAATATTAAAATGCAGAAAAGCTGACTTAGATCACTGAGATGTGTGCAAAACCAATCTAAGTTAACTACACTGTGACTTTTAGATATGCTCTTTATTTTAAATTGTACTGCAACATCAGTGGATGCCAGAGTTCATAATGTCATTTACCTTTATATCGGTAATTAACATCATGCCTGTTGTTTTTTAGATTCCAATGTGAATGTCATCTACATCTGCTCCCATCCTATGAATGATGAGTTAAAGCTGTATTACAAAAAACTCCTGAGTCTACACGCAGCTGTCAAATCAGGGAACTACGAGGACAGGAGTGACCTGCAGAATAGGTTCAAAATTATCATCCCTGAAGCTATAAACTTCTTCACTGTGAGTTTGTCTTCTAATTACCACGGCTTCAGGGATGCAGTAAAATTAAATTGGAAATTTTATAACTTGCAACGCTCTGGTACACATCAGTGAAATATTATTGCAAGTTTAACAGCTTTACTGATTAGACTACTAGTTGGGCTGTAGGAAATAAATATCATAGTTTAACTTTCAAACTTAGTTGAACTACCCCTGCCTGGTTTCTCTGTGGCTAGAGCCTAATTGCCGCTATTGGATGGTACCATCAAGTAGGTGGATTTATAACATTCACTATCCCTTTTTCTTAAATCTGTGCAGAGTTCACCAGGGTAGATAGAGAAAGGTGGGCCAGGCCTGTGCATAGTCATAAAGCTGCTCAGGGAGAGAACATGGACCAGGGCCCTGATTTCTGTCTTCCACACGGCTATTCCTTGTTATACCATATTTTTATTCCTTAGGGGAAGTGGACCTGATTTACCACACCACATGTGCTTCACACTTTTTAATGTACTGACTTTTATGAATAGAATGGATCCCATCCCCCGAACAAGAGCCTTTGTGAAACTCATGGACCCACAAGGACAGTGTTCTAGTAAAAGGCAGTAAAACAGAAGACTTAAAAGGAATTTCTTTACATTTTAACAAGAATTTAAACTCTCCATGTCAAAAACTCATTTTAATATCTAATGGGATATCCAATTTGGAGGAGTTTCTTTTACAAAGATTGCATTTGCTAACAGATAGGTCTCTCCATTTACAGATGAGGTATACTAAAACCAGCTGTCTACATATTACCAGAGAAACTGACAGCGAGCTTCCCGTAGGAAACATCTGTGTGTTGTCAGTAGGAGATGCACCCCAATTTAACAAAGAAGAGGGAGGGGGAATGGAACCTGAGAAAGTTCTGCCAGGGCTGGGGGGTGGTCAGGGAGTTCCTCTCTCTAGTAGTTCAGCTTTGCTGGTCTACTCAGTGAACTGTCATCTACCTTCACTTTCTTCTGTCTCCTAAGAGGGCACCTCAGTGTTCCCCTGATAGCCCTCTGCTCAGCTCAGCTCTGCTTTGGCACCATTGGCTGTGGAAAGAGGAAGGCAAAGGCCAGAGGAAACTAGAGAAAAGACAGAGGACAAACCATTGCCACTTATGTGCTTGGGAGCTTTCCATAGCCTCCTTCAAGTGCAGGGACTTTTTTTAAAGGTGCTTCCTAACTAGTCCAAGGCCTCAATGGCAGAATGATTATTCATGTTAGAAAGCAAAGAAGAAAAACACCTAAGACATTGATGTTTAGTTTTCTCCAGCCAGAAACAAGCTAATGCCAGCTAGCTGCCATAGAGAATTTGGGCACATCTGAAATGCCACGGATACAGAAGAGGCATGGGTCAAGGAAGGGAGGTTGTGGTAAGGAAAGTAGGTGAACTAACTTTGATCAAATTCTTAGTATACATTTTTTATTTGATTCTCATACAATGCATCAAAATAGGGATTATCACTCTCCTTTTATGACTGCAGAAAGAAAACTCATTTTCTAGTCCAATGTCACTGGTAGGGCTGGAATATAAACCAAAAATCTATCTCCTCCAGATCACCATTCTACACTGGAATGGCTGCTGTGCCTCTGGATGACTCAGGGGCCTTGGGCAAGCCTCCTTAGCTTTCATGTCCTCTGTTCTTTATCTATGAAATGAGCTGATGGATTAGGTAATTCTAAATCCTTTCCAGGTCTACAGTCCTATCCCCTCAGAAAGTTACCCTAACAGTGCCCTTTCTGGCTTCCAATCAAGATCCAGGCGGCTGGCACTCTTGGCATGCTGAGCTCCAGCCAGAGTATAGGTCAGCATTGTGGTGAGCAGAAACAAGTAGGAAAGGGTTTAGGTACTTAATGCTATTTCTCAGAGCTTACATTCAAATTATTTGAGTAATTAATCACTCAGAGGCAATCAACTTTTTAAAACACAAAAACTAAACCCTCACTTTTAAATCAGTTCCTACTCCTGTTTAGCCGTTGCTTTATTTCTTTCTAATGGGTTGGAGAGAGTGTGTCAGTGCTGATTTTCATTCAAATGGATGGCTTTGAGGAGACTTTTTTAAAGTGCGCCAAAAACTGTTTGCATATCTCTGCAAGTTACCATATAATCTGTGAATTTGTAATGGTAAATATGCAAGTATAAAAGCCATCATGTCTATTTTGGGGCAGTTTAATGTTTATGAAGACATTCTAAACTATCTTTGTCTCAGGTCAAAACAAGAGATCAGTAGTAATAAACTGAGGCTATAAGCAAAGGAATTGGGAGCACTTTAGGTTGTTGTCATCTGTGGTAATCTGCCTGGAACTGTTGATACTGATTTTCTCTAAATGATCACACAAGACCTGTGGTCTGTGGTGTGTTCTCTGCCATCATTCGCTCACATTTGAATCTTTATAAACACACACTGAAGACAATACTGTGGTACTATCTTGCCTGAAGACAGGCATGCCCACAGATGGAGTTAAAAGAATACTTTCTGGGGCTGGAGAGACAGCTCAGCAATTAGGAGCACTGGTTATAGCTGGGCATGGTGGTACATGCCTTTAATCCCAGCACTTGGGAGGCAGAAGCAGGTGGATCTTTGTGAATTCGAGGCCAGCCTGGTCTACATAGTGAGCTCCAGGCCAGCTGGGGCTACTAGGAGACTCTGTCTCAAAAAGACCAAAAAAAAAAAAAAAAAAAAAAAAAAAAAAAAAAAAAAAAAAAAAAAAAAAAAGAAAAGAAAGAAAGAAAAAGAAAAGAAAAAAGGATCAGCGGCTGCTCTTGCAGAGGACCCGAGTTCAGTTTCCAGCACCCATATGGTGGCTAACAACCATTTGTAATTCCAGTTCCAGAGGCTCCAATGCCCTCTTCTGGTATCTGTGGGCATTACATAATATAGGTGCACTTACATCCATGCAGGCAATACACTCAGACACATAAAATAAAATAAAAATAATAAAATATTTTTTAAAAAGAGAACACTTGGCAACAAAGATGTATAAATCTAAAGGAGATAGAAATCCAGCCAGGGTGGAAATGTGCTCAGAACTTGAACTGAATTGCTACGTATGCTCTTCCCTCGACACTGTTCATTCTGCAAGATGGGCGAAGTGTAGTGACTGTAGCATGCCAAATACGCAACAGGGTTCAAATCCTGCCTCTACTTTATGGTCAGAGCTATGTGACCTTAGACAAATCTTCATCTTCATAGTAGGGAGTGTAGTATGGATTGAATGAGAGGCAAAGTAACAAAGGACTTTGAACTTGCTAATCTGTTATCAGATGACTGTGCCTCAGAATACCAGGGACATTGTAACTCAAGTCACCCATTCTCCTGGGCTGTTTCATTTGTTTGTTTTACATTTCTGCATTGGAACAATTTGTGGGAGAAGGAAAGCAGTTAAGTAAGCAAGCGGAAAGGTGGTCAACAACCATAGCTGAAACAAATCTACCAAGTACTACCGCCAGCCACTGTCTAAGTATTGCTGAGTTTCCCAGAACTTCATTCTCAGAAGTTCATTTGAAACGTGAATTTAAATTGTATCAGAAAAATCATATTGTATAGATTAAAAGCTTAGACTCAAACTCCTAACTTGTGGGAAGGGCCCAATAGAGTAAATCATATAAATCGCAGAGGAGCTTTGAGTTTTGCCCTTTTTTATTGCTGTAAGATACTGTAACATAAAATGTCATTATCCTAGCCATTTTCAAGTATATACAATTTAGTGGCATTAAGTGCATTCACATTGTTATACAAATGTCACCACTGTTCATTTCCAAAATTTTCATCATCCCCAGCAGAAATTCTGTATGCATTAAATAATAAACAGAGTTCTGGTTCTACTTCATAGTTATTTCAAAGCTGGAGGATCTGGAGACTTATGTCTAACCCCTCATTTGCATATAAGAAACCGAGGTTCAGAAAGATGGACTGCTCTAAATTCCAGCTTCTTAAACTGTGGGGTTGTGTAAGTTAATGTGAGGGTTGTGAAAAATGACAACGGGGAAATGTTTTGAAACATGAAATGACCGAAAGTCAATTCAAAACCAAACAAGTCATAAATATAAGGCATTTCTGGTGGCACTCAGAGTAGACCTGGGTTCAGTTCCCAGTAACCACATCACAGCTAGCAACCATCTGTAACTTCAGTTCCAGGGGATCCACTAAGTATACCCATATCATGCAATGCCTGTGGAGGTCAGGAGAGGGTATCGGATCCTCTGGAACTAGAGTTACATATGGTTGTTAGCTGCCATGTGGGTGCTGAGAACTAACTGAACCAGGGTCTTCTGCAAGAGCAGCCAGTGCTCTTAACAACTGAGTCATCTCTCCAGCCCCCAAATAAGATTTTAAAAAAGAGTTTGTTATTGGGAAATGATTTTAGTCTTGCTGAAACTTTCCAAATATTTCAAATTTATTGTATTCATAAATGCTTTCCAAAGTGTTGGTTAGAACCACTGGTAATCACTATAAAGCATATGTACTTGGAAATGGACTTTGTGGTAGAATTGTTGGAAGTGGGTATCAAGTCAAGTGCCTTTTTTCTTTTGGAAACATTTTTTAAAAATAATTTATTATTTTTATTTTATGTGTAATAGTGTTCTGCATGCATGTACATAAGTTCACCCAAGCTGTGCAATGCCTGTGAAGGTCAGAAGAGGGTGTTGGATCTCCTGGAACTGGAGTTACACAGAGACAGTTGTTAGCTGCCATGTGGGTGCTGGGAATCGAACCCAGGTCCTCTGTAAGATCAGTCAGTGCTCTTAACTGCTGAGGCATCTCTCCGGCCCCCCTTTGGGAACATTTAAAGAGTTTCCAGATTAGAAGTCTATACAGAGAAGACGACCATGGGATTTTTTTTCCTTCATTTTTTTGTATTGATTTTCCAGACGCTTTAGCGTTAAACCATGCCAGAAGTGTTGCAGAGATGAATCACTATTATCCAAAGGCCGCCAGCCTCTTTTCCTTCTGACAGAAGGAAAATTCCACGTGGATCAAATAAATACAGATGTGT